GATGCAAAAGAACTCTCTGTCTTCCAGTGCCCTGGGGCCAGGTCTCTCTCCAGAAATGGGCAGCCAGTTGTGCCAGATCTGAACAAGACGGTACATTGAAGGTGTCACCTACCTACAGAAACGGGATAGAGTTCAGCCTGCAGGTACTGGTGGGCTTGGCAAGTGACTGCGTTCACTGCTGATGGCACACACAAGTCATTATTCTGATTTTGTATCCATCCCTTCCTCACTTCTGAACTTCCCAACATCATCCACACACAGAGACCTTTCTCCTCATCAGTTTCTAGGGGCCATGCCAGGTTTTGAAATAGACAGATCCCAGTCTCATTTGTGTGTTGTTTTACCTGGAGAGTGGGTTTCCCTGGTGGCTCAGATGGGAAAGCGTCTGCCTGCAATGCGGGGAGACCCAGGTTCAATCCCTGGGTCGGGAAGGTCCCCTGGAGAAGGAACTTGGAATCCTATTATTAATGTCTTGAGGACTGCACCATGCCTATGGGGATTTATATCCTGGTGTGGCATCCTTTGACTGTACAACATTGCTTGGGGTAGTGTCCGAGGGTCCGATGGTCTGACAAGCCTCTCTCCTCAGTAAGGAGGGAGAGGGGTCTCCTGGGCCTAAACTGGGAGGTAGGGAAGAGGCAGCATCAGAAAGCAAAATAATAATAGCGCCTCTTTCTTCTCTTCTTCCTCTACTTCCCTCCTTCTCTACTTCTTCTTCTGTCCTTCCTTCCCTCCCCACCTTGTTCTGAAAGGCCAGGGAAGGAGAGCCTCGCTCAGAGCATGTCATGAGTGCCCCACTTGTGTACTTGTGGTTTACCTACCTGGAGGAGGGTTGTACCCTCGGGCCTCCACATGCTGTGGGCATGGTTTCTTATTCAACTCCACAAATATTTACTGTGCCCTGGTTAACTGAGAGACTTTGTGCTGGAGGTGCCAGAGAGATGCAGAAAGGCAAAGCCCCTCCTGGGAGGGGCGCGTCTGGGGCCCCTGCCTGAGGTCCGCCTAAGACATGCCCCCCTTCCTCAAGGATGCAAAAGAACTCTCTGTCTTCCAGTGCCCTGGGGCCAGGTCTCTCTCCAGAAACGGGCAGCCAGTTGTGCCAGATCTGAACAAGACGGTACATTGAAGGTGTCACCTACAGAAACGGGATAGAGTTCAGCCTGCAGGTACTGGTGGGCTTGGCAAGTGACTGCGTTCACTGCTGATGGCACACACAAATCATTATTCTGATTTTGTATCCATCCCTGCCTCGCTTCTGAACTTCCCAACATCATCCACACACAGAGACCTTTCTCCTCATCAGTTTCTAGGGGCCATGCCAGGTTTTGAAATAGACAGACTCCAGTCTCATTTGTGTGTTGTTTTACCTGGAGAGTGGGTTTCCCTGGTGGCTCAGATGGGAAAGCGTCTGCCTGCAATGTGGGGAGACCCAGGTTCGATCCCTGGGTCGGGAAGGTCCCCTGGAGAAGGAAATGGCAACCCATTCCAGTACTTTAGCCTGGAAAATTCCATGGACAGAGGAGCCTGGTAGGCTACAGCCCACGGGGGTCACAAAGAGTTGGACATGACTGAACGACTTCCCTTTCCCTTTCACCTGGGGAGTAAGAGTCATGCCTCAATCAACCAAGGCTTAGCCAGGCCTCACCCTGAGGCGGTGCTGATGGGCAGAAGCTCTTGGGGTGAAAGGGAATAAACGAGGTCTGAAGAGGGGGATTGCAGCTAGGAGGACTATTTCCCAAATGCTTTGGGCTCTCTGACTTCCTAGTCTGGGTGGGATGGGGAGCAGTGCGTGAGTAGTTCTGGCTGATAAATGGTGAGTAGAAGTGACATGTGCTTCTTCTGGGTGGGAATCACTGACTTGTGGGGGCCGGAACTTCAAGAGATCCTCTTTTCTTGGGCACTGCCAGGTTCTAGGTAGGGCTACTTCGGCTTCATCCTGTATGTGGTATTCCATGAGTCCAGCCCCTTTCACCTGATTCCAGGTGAGAAATCGGGGAAGGCTTCCTGGAAGAGGTGGTAGTGTCACCTGTCAGAACTTACTCTTCACTCTATGTTTGGGCCTGTGTGCCTGTGTGCTCGGCTGTGTCCGACTTTTCGCGACCCCTTCACCACCGCGCCACCTGGGAAGCCCATGTTTGGTCTGTGACCCACAGCAGACACGTGGTGGAGTTAAGACCTAAGCCCTAGTTGTTCTGAGCCAGTGAAGTTAGGGCTCATTTGTTACTGTAGCATAAGCTTGCCTGTTCTGAAGGCTACAGTGGGAAAACAAAAAACTTGATTGCAGAGGCAGCCTTCCATTGAGCTCTCTGCAAAATTCAAAATATCAGGGCTTCCCTGGTGGTATAGTAGATTGGAATCTGCCTGCCAATGCAGGAAACATGGGTTTGATCCCTGGTCTGGGAAGATTCCACATGCCATGGGGCAAATAAGCCCAGAGCCACAACTCCTGAAGCCCGAGGGCCCTAGCGCCTATGCTCCTCAACAAGAGAAGCCAAGGCGATGAGAAGCCTGTGCACCACAACTAGAGAGCAGCCCCTGCTTGTCGCAACTAGAGAAAAGTCTGAGCAGCAACAGAGACCCACCACAGACAAAAACAGAATAAGTAAACCAGTAATTAAAAGACAAACAGAATATCAAACCTCCTTTCTCCTCTGTTTTATCAGTCAACATTTTCCTTTATCTGGTCAATATTTATCATGTAGCATGCATAAAAGACACAACAAAGCTTTGTAAGGAGAGGGATGGAAAGAAAGCAATGACTGTACTTGTGTTGGGAAGTTTATTGCAGTGTGATGAAAAGACAAGAAATTAGAACTTCTCTCTCACCTCTAACATGCACAGAACAACAGAATTGCAGACCATTACCACTGACCATGACCACAGACTTTAGAGGGGATCTAATTTAACTTCATAGTCCAAGAATGTATCACTTCTCCATCTCAGACTTATTTGTACCTACCAGGCCAGTTGCTCTGCTGAGCACTGGAGAGAAACTGAGATGAATAAAACTCAGCTTAGTAGGTACAGTGACCCAAGAGGGGTTTGGACCTACTGCTCAGAACATAGAGGGGGAAAGAGGCTATTCCAGGTGAGAAATCAGGAAAGGCTTCTTGGAAGAGGTGGTAGTGTCACCTGTCAGAACCTTATTCTTCACTGTATGCTGTGTATTCTTGCCTGTATGCTCAGCTCAGTTGTGTCTGACTCTTTGCGATCCCATGGACTATAGCCCACCAGGCTCCTCTGTCCATGAGATTCTCCAGGCAAGAATATTGGAGTGGGTTGCCATTTTCTCCTCTAGGGGATCTTTTCTACCTAGGGATCGAACCTGCGTCTCCTGCATCTCCTCTGTCTTCACAGGCAGATTCTTTACCACCGTGCCACCTGGGAAGCCCATGTTTGGGTCTGTGAGAATGCAGAAATGGATTCAGGACATGGTTCCTCATTCTTCCTCACCACATGGGCTAACTCAACCCCCCCGGACCCATCAGGGATTCCGCTTCTGACCTCTTCCTGCGACTTCCCAGACAGCCTTATGCCTGTCCAGGCTCTTGTACTGGTACAGTGTGGTCTCTGCCCTGGGAGATGAGAGACCAATTGGGTAACCTGGAAGCAAAGCCCAGCCTGCTCTGTAAAACTAGGAGTTAAATGAGAGCCTGCTGTTTCAGACCAAGCTCTGCAAATGCCCATCTAGTCATGCTCACTGCAGGGATTCCCTGCCCTGGTCAAGGATGGGCGGGTGGGTGGGTAAGTCATTCCCCATCCCTGGGCTTCTGGGGGTGGAAATCACTGGGGAAGGTACTGGATCTTGTTCAGCTTGACTGCCTTTATTATGCAGCTCATTTACAAGTGAGCACAAATTAATACAGTACAAACTGGCTACATAAATATTGTGCTGTAATTGATTGTCTTCTTGTAATCAAAGGCAAGGCTGCTGACTTTGTTAGTTTCTCTGCTTTGCAACTGCTGGAGGAAGACTTTGCGGGGAAGGTTGTTGAGCTGGTTTTGGCTGCATGTATCTGTTTGCATGTTGTGTCTCTGATATATTGAGAGAAGGATAAGGGCCATTACATTCAGATTCAATAAGTATCAAATGCTTGCTACATGAGAGGCAGTCAAAGACCCATTATCTTATTTTGTTATTAATTGCATTCATAGTAGTAAAGCTTTGATGAAAAAAGTGAAAGAGTTAGTTGTGTCCGACTCTTTGCCACCCCATAGACTGTAGCCTGCCAGGCTCCTCTGTCTATGGGATTCTCCAGGCAAGAATACCAGAGTGGGTAACCATTCCCNGGATGTGTGTGTGTGTGTGTGTGTGTGTGTGTGTGTGTGTGTGTGTGTGTGTGACACACACAGACAGAAAGAGAGACTGCATAAACCCCCGGGAAAGCTGAGCTGTCGCCCGACCCCTTCGAGTTATGCAGTTTTCCTAACCTTGACCTGAAGTCAGACGTCTTTAACCCCTTTCCAAAACGTCGCTCGCGCTGGGCTGCCATTGGAAAGGGGAAAAAACGGAAAAAGAAAAACGAAACCTGCCTATTCCGAGACTCGGGTAAAGAGCACTAGCTCCCACGGGGCTTGGGACAACTTGCCGGCTACCCTGCCCAGGGCTTTGAAATCAGCACAAACCGCCGGATCCCTACGCGCTTCGCGTGCCCGACCCGCATCCCGCCACTTCCTTCTTCACTCGCCGGCAGGAGGGGGTGGCGGCACCGAGGCGATTTTATTCGTATGTTTTTCCTCCGGGTTTTGTCATGGAAACGCTGACACACAAGCTCCAGACGGCGGCCGGCCGGGCCGGGGACTGAGGGCCTTTGGGACCCTGCGGAGCGCGGCGCGCACTCCCCGGGAAACAGCTGGACGCGACCAAATCCCGGGTAGGGGCGCGGGGAGCGAGACGCTCCGCCCCGGCGCTCCGGCCCCGCCCTCCGCCCGGCTCTCCGCAGGCGCCCTCCCCTCGCCGGGGGCTGCGAGTTACGTTTGGTAAAACCCAGCCCCGGAATATATAGATCATTGGAGCGCAATGAAGTAGCCTTTGGAGAGGAGAGAGGGGGCCGGTCCGACAGCCACAGCGGCCAGCGCAGCGGCAGCGGCGGCGGCACCACCATCAGCATCACCGCTCGCACCCCAGTCGCCCGGCCCGCGAGGAGGCAGCGGCGGCCGCCGGCGGGAGCGGAGGCGGCGGCGGCGGAGAGGCGAGGAGGAGCCGCGGGAGGAGCAAGAGCGCGCAGCCGGCGGGTCCACGCATCTCCGCACTTCCAGAGCAACTCCGGCGCCTTCCACACCCCTGCCCGGGGCTGGGGGCTCCGAGAGCGGCCGCGAAGCCAACCCCTATCCTCCCAGCGACCCTTGCCCAGCCCTGTCCTGCGTCTCTCGGGCTCCGCTCCGCGCCGCGGGGTCCCCGCTCCTGCGCTCCGGGAGCGCCTCCCGGACACCCGGGTTCCCGCAGCTAGGACAAAGCCATGAAGCCGGCGCTGCTGGAAGTGATGAGGATGAACAGAATTTGCCGGATGGTGCTGGCCACTTGCTTGGGATCCTTTATCCTGGTCATCTTCTATTTCCAAAGTATGTTGCACCCAGGTAGGGGGCGCGTTAGCGTGGTTTTGTTGGATATTTTCTTCTTTCTCGTGCTCTCGCTCCCCCGCTCACCGTGGCTGGTTTCTGACTCTTCCAACCTTACCTCTTCTCTCTGGGCCACCTCGGGGTTCCTTGCTGACCGGGTCTGCCCGGATCCCCGAGTCGGGATGGGGAGAAAAGATATACTCCCTCCTCTTCTTCCTCCCAACTCCAGGCTGGAGGATGGGACCAGAGGAGCGGTAGATTTTTTTTTTTCTTTGTGTCTCTTGTCTGTCTACGAGGTAGCAGACCAAGGTAGACGTCGTGGGAAGCTTCTGGGGTTGGAGGATCAGTTTGAAGAGAACGAAACTCCCTCCCCGCTTCTGCCGAGGTCCGAGGATGAAAGAGGCTCCGGGAGCCAGTCACCCCTCTCCCCAGAGAAATGCCTCTTCCGGGGGGGCTTGCGGGCCAGGGACGAAGGGTGAGCGCCGGGCGAGGTTGCGGGTCTGGCCGCGAGCTTGGGAGCCTGAGGCTAGCCTCCCATGTGTGCGGGTTTCGGCGCCGCGTCGAGCAGGTGGAGGGAGAGATTGGGGGTGCCCGACATTTCCCCCCGACACCAGCTAGGGTTGGGTCCCGGCGCCGGCTGCTTGCCCCCGGGGTTCGGCTCCGCCTTGACCTTGCGGCTGGTGCCACGGGGCCTGCTCCCTCCCTCACAGTCCGGCTCGCGACCCTGTGCTGGGGGGTACTCAGAGCCCCGGGATCGCGCAGCTTTAGTTTGGGAGGAAACTTTGGTCGGTTTTGGGCTGACCGTCAGTTGCACACCCCCAAGTCCTGGGTGGCTTAGACAAGCTCCACACCTGAAATCTGGACTCGGAGAGGGACGAGCCTGCCCCTTCCGAGGGGCGGGAAGGAAAGTTTAGGAGGGACGGGCGGCCTGGAGCGTGGTGGCCCCGGGATCGCAGCTCCACTCCAAAGCCCAACAGGTAAAACCTTCCGAGAAGCTCCTGGGGAAACGGGCATCGCGCCGTGGAGTCGTGATCTCCCATGCCCTGGCCCCCAGCAGACCCCCACTGGACCACATGGGCTCTCAAATCTACCAATCACGCCTCCCAGCTGCCTTTCTCAGTATAGTCATGGCAATAATTTGCTTTTATAATTGCAAGGATGGAGCTGGAAGCCCATTTCCTTCCAGGGCTATAGGGTTATGTTCTGCTTTCAGTGTGTATCTGACCCAGAGGCAGCACCGAACTCATCTAGCCTGCATTTGGGGGTGTCACAGGACCAAAGCTGTTCTTTCCATCAAACTTTGGGATTCCTTGACAGCTCGGACAGAACGGCCCCTCTGCCTGGCTGGGCCTGGAGGAGTTGTTAAGGCAGCCCCTTGGCCAAGAGTAAGGTCTCAGTCTGGTGTGGCCTGACACTTCCACATGGAGCCTCAGGACGGCGGAGCCGCTGGTAAAGGGTGGCTTTTGTTTGCAGTTGGGTATTTTTAGTTTCACGTCAGCAAGCTGCAGCGGTGTTTGCCTCCTCACCCAAACCAGTGGTTGGGAAACTTCTTAGGGAATTTAAAAATGGACCTGGCTTGCCTGCCGGCAGCCAGGCCGTGGTTGCAATGGGCAGGACCAGACAGACTGCTGTGTCCTGGGCCAGGCTCCGCCCGGAGGGCTGGGGGACTGGGTGGTGTGCATCTGCACACTGGGGCCCAACAGCTCACACAAAGAGCTGAATGATTTGGTCCAGACACTACAGATGTGTTTAGGCCACTTAAGTTTTGCCTGGACCGAACGTGCCGGGTAGTCCTCTGCGGAAATGCCTGGAACAGTGAGGTGTATTGGTCTCCAGCAGGAATGTGCTGTAACTTCTCTGTACCTGTTAGTTGTCCAGGGAGATACTAACTAGTAAGACTATTGCTGCCAGTGATTTTCAAGCATCCCGTGTTTCTCTTACCCTGTGTGAGATTTAGGAAATAACTTTCCAGCCAGGGATACCAGGAAGAAATTTCCAACTTGTAACTGACACTTTGTGAAAATTTCCAGCCCTAGTTGGAATATTAAGTTGGCTTGAAAGTGGTGTTAGCTGCTTTCAGTCTGGCTTTTCGGTACCAGGGACAGAAGCTTGGCCAAGGCTTCCTAGATAAGGATTTTCCACCCTTGACCCTCTGCTCTCACCCTTGGCTTCCCTTCCTCGTCCCACTTCCAACCCCCAAATGGCGTTTGTGGATTATTTGCTTGTGTGAGTATGTGCGTCTGTTATTTTCCACCAGTCTATAGCAAAGACTATTTTTAATATGTTCTATTGAATGTAGAACTGTATTGGTCTGCATTCAACTGAAAGGTCTTCCTTACTTTGAATTATATATAATTGTTTCACTGTTCCATGAAAACTCCATGCCAGTAGTTTATTATGATATAGGACATAAAAATATACTTTGAAATTAATATTAAACATTTATACCCTCCACCTCCCCTCCACACACACATTTTATTAAACTAGGCTCTTGATGACAACCGATGCTATTTCTTTTTCCTCCTGCTTGGAATTTCCTTAAAAGTTAGCTGCTCTTTGCTTCTCTGAAGGATTTTGGGTTGTGACAGCTGATCTTTTAGCCTGGCACTGCAGTTTCCATTTCTCCAGATCACCCTGGGAGAGGCAGAAGGGACCACAGCATGGCACAGATTGTGTTGCTAAAAATTAGGAGCCCTCTGGCAGAGAGGCTATTTCTATTCCTCTCTGAAATAGAAATGTAGTATTCCAAAAAGAAATGGATCCTTGGCTTCATTGATGGCTAGAGAATACCTGGAGTGTGTGAGGAGGAAGGGAAAGAATAAACAGAGATAAGCTGGCGAGGGGCTGGCTGGCTGTTCCTCTGATTCTAATCTGGGGCTCATTGTCTTTTGTACTTTTCTAATACAGCAACTTGAGTCATTGACCTTTAATTTGGTGTTGGGTCCAGCAGAAGTGGGCTCCTTGTCAGTACAGGCAGTTTTCTTTAGGTCTTTGACACTCTAAGTTAACAGTCTTAGGGCAGGGTCTGGGTTTTAGGCCCTGTTCTAATCCCAGTGTCCGGCACAGTGCCCGGCCCATGGTAGTTTCTCAATAAAGTATTTGCTGGATGAATGAATGAAGTGGCTAGATTCTAGGAGACCCGCTTCTCCAATTTTTGGGAAGTTGTATCAAACCTTGCCAAGAATGCCTCATCACTAAGTCTGGCTCTCTTGAGGGGGTGTGTGGGACACTGGAGACAAGGTCTGGACACTTCACTATCCTCCTGGTCTTTGAGATCTCTCAAGTCACGGGTCAGGTTTAAGCTCATCACACCCCAGACAGAACACTCCCCTTGGCCTAGAGTTGCTGCCCCGGAGTGTGAGACGGTGAGGCTGGGTGTCTTGGGTAGGGGGAAGCTTGGTCTCTTTTAGCCGCTGACCTGTAGAAACCCCTCTGCAGGAGAGACACCCTCTGTGGGCGTGACCTGCTCCTGATCTCAGGATGGAGCGCCATGCCTGTGCTTTCTGCACAGCTTTCTGTCCATCAGCGATCGCTTCCTGAACATTGACTTGTCTCGGGTACCTGCCCCAGACAGCTGGCCTTTGATGGAGCTGTGTCTTGGGGCGGCTAGGCCGAGCTGAAAGACCCCCAAGGCTGCATTTGTGCTGAGTGTGTGAAGGTGGCTCCCCTGAACCTTCCTTTTGTGTTATTCCGTAGGGTTGTGGTTTTGTTTGAAAGCTCCTGTTCATAGGAGAGAAGCCTGGGGAGAAAGCTTTTCTTCTCTCTTTCTCTGTTTTTTTTTTTTTTTTTTTAATGTTTACTTTCACTGTCGCCTGGGATTTCTTTGCTTTGGTCGAATGTATTGAAAGATTATACCCTTTATTTAAAGGCTTCCTGGGTTACCCCTTTGTAGTTCACTTGATTAGATTGATGTAAAACACTTGCATTATAATTTTAACCTAATTATAAAAGTAATATGTGCTCATTTTAGAAAATTTAGGAGGTACAGAAGATAAGCAATCATCCATTAATCTACCACCCAGAGGCAAGGGGTCCTTTTTTCCTATTATAGAATATATATATTAAAAAAATAATTGAGATCCTATCCTGGATTTTGTACCTTGTTTGATAGGTAATATGTATTTTAGACAAATACATCATTATGGTCATTATGGTGACCACTAATTAAGTTGAAAAACAGAAAACTTAGCCACAAACTTTTAAATTTATAGGGTTGCCTGTGTCTCTAACCTCCCATCCCCACTACTTTGCAGAGTGCCAGTCTGCTATCGTGTTTTTTTTTTCTTTCTGCACGTATTTAATTTTAAAGAATCTTTTTGCTGATACATGAAATGAATTTGGAGTGAGACCAGGTTGTAGGGGCTGTTCTCTTATATATCTGAAACTTCTTTTGAAAAGAAGTCAGGAAGTTCTCAAATATGACACTGTTATAAATCCTGGAAACTGCATCAAATAGCTGAAAGATAAGCTGTTTCCAGCATCTGGTCTCCCCTTGGCAGTTTAAATGTTTGCACCTCCATGGGGAGTTTCATGGCTGCTCAAAGATGAGACAGATACACTTAGGCAATTTCCTTCGACAGTTAGATCTGCTGTCCAGGAGTCCTCATTTTGTTGCCTCTGAAATAAAAGTGGTGATTGGGCACCAGAGGAAGACTGGTTGGAGTTTCTAATGGACGAGGGATGGGAGAATCAAGCTGCCAGCAGAAGGGGCTGCTGTTTATATTTATCTGGATGAAAAGTCATTTTGCTTACGAGCTGTATCGGTCACAACCATTTAAAAACAGGAAATCAAAGGCTTACAAGTGAGCACCACCCCTTCCCTTCTTAAATCTACCAAGAGGACAAAGCTCTTCTTAATCTGGGGATGGTAAATGGAAAGACTTTCATGAAAGTCACAGCCACTGGTAAGGGCAGATTCTGAAAAAAACCAGTAGTTTTACATATTCATTTTCTCTTTTTTGTTTTTCTTCTCTTGAATTTTGAGACCCCTATCTTTATCACAAATGAAGAATGAGGCA